CTGCGCCATGTAGACAGAACGTCTTTGCGTACGTAAGTGGAGGGGGAAAAACACCGGTGTGCATGAGCTCGAAATCGTATTACTGCTTAGGGTCGGTCTACAACCAGTCGTATGTCGGAGTCGGATGTCGGAACATAGCCGATGGTCCAATGAGAGAAACGAATTTTCCTCATTGGACCATCAGCTACGTTCCGACATCCGACTCCGACATACGACTGATTGTAAACCGACCCTTAGATCTTATTAGATCATCTTGAAGAGCACTGCAAGGTGCAGAGTGTAGTGTCTCGCATTTAAAAGATTGAAAGATTCTTCATCAAGCAAAGAGGACTATTAGCCATGTCAGCAATAAAGGACTGTTTTTCAAAAACGGAACTCTTTTGGAGACGCCGCGTGTGATCGAAATCGTAAATCGGTATCAGCCGGTCTGCGTGATGCCCGAGAAAGACATTCTGCCGTGTTCTTCTCAGGGAAAAACCCAGGTTGAATACAAGCATTCGTTGGTAGAGGCCCGACGAGGACGAGCCCGACCAAACAAAACCAATTAAAACGGAGACAAGTGATGCCGTCTCCTGGGCGGAGAATGAAATCGTTAACGACAGAGAGACATTGTATAATGACCGTTCTAGACTGGAGGATGAGCCGACTCTCGGCTCATCCGCCTTCTATAGTGTACGTGACATAAACTATACATAAACTATAGATTTTTACCCGTCTACACCACTCACTCGGATGAGCCGAGAGTCGGCTCATCCTCCAGTTTAGAACGGGCATAAGAGACATTGTATAAGAGACAGTTAACTCATGACAAATCGCACGAAGATCAAAATTTATAATCGGTAGAACGTGTGAACAGATCGTGAAAGATCCTCCCAAATTGGAAACAATTTTGCTCAACGAAAAAAGTAATTCATCGAAACTAAAAAAGAAATTCTCTCAGTGGACCATCGGCTGCGTTCCGACATCCGACTTCGACATATGCATGACTGATTGTAGAACCGGCCTAATGTCACTGAACCAATCAAGGATCACGAATCCGAGATTAATATCACTGAACTAATTGAAGATCACAAATCCTCCGTATGTTTCGATTTGACGTCCAGTTTTGAAAAGTTGAATAAGTTGCGTAATTCTTCAGACGCGAATGCACTTTTTACGTTAATAGATAAAAGTAATATAGAAAAATCCCTCTTTACTATATATATTTTATGCCCTTGGTAGAATTCTTGTTGCCAGGGGAGATTGATCTGTCTGACGAATTTTGGAATAGAGAAGATATAGTGTATCCGAAAGATATAGAAGACCCCTGCGATGAAGCGAGAAGAACGAAAGTCTACGAATTTTAGGCTGGTATTTTAGAAAATGACTATTCAGAAATGATTGATGAGGTAAGAAGTTTGCTTGCAAGATCTGGAGCTTTGTATTAAACAATCATCGATGGACATCAAACAAAAGTCACATACACAATCGATCGAATCCAATGTCGAAATTTCACGTACGATCGATGTTCTTGATAAATTTTTAAAGCTTGTGCTTAAACTAGTTTCTGCTAAGCTACATTTTTTCATTTTTCCATTTATTTACAAATTAGTTTCTTTAAAAAATGCAAAAAAGTCGCCAAGTGCGCGCGCCAGTACAAAAAACAAAAAACTGTGCTACAAAATTGTTGTAACATATCCAATCAAAAATATATAAAATAATTGTGCATTGCAACATGAATGGTGTAGATTTCCGTAAGAAGAATGTAGATGAATAATAAGTGTTGTTCGACATTTCATAATTTTAAAAATACCCCCCCCCCCCCCGCACACGTTCTCTCACTTTCGCTTCTTTGTTCACGCTTCCTCGCTCTCGCTCCTTCACTCTGGCTCGAATATCTTTTCTTTTTCTATGAAACGCTACATAGTCTAAGTTATCTAGGGGCATTCCGTTTCACCGAATGTTAAACAAGGATAAATGATGCATTATGCGCATCATGCGTGAAACACGGAATGCACCCCTAGTGATGAAAAGAAATGTGAACTATTGCTTTATTTCCTTATTTTCCTAACCTGATTTATCGGCTTGATATCCCTGTTGAGTCGATAGTCTGATAATCTAAGCGCCTCCTAACTCAACGGTTCGTGTAGTGTAAAGATACAGGTCAGAGGTTTCGTCGTTCGTGCGCGCTAGCACAGGCACTTGACGCGAGACACCAGCGTGTCTCTTGATTCTAAACGAAATTAAAGACGCCCTTTTTATTGTTTTATATAATTAATACAATATCTCTTGTGCAAGTAAAATTGTATAATTATCTTAATGAAATAAAAATTATTCTAAATTTTTGATACGTTCAAGAAATTATGTGTTTCCACTATTTCACGAAGTGACTTAGTTGTAGTTAAAGAAATGATAACATATGTTAGATAAAAGGCCAACTTGACTTTTAATTGGAATCCCAGTTTTAATTGGAGCCGCTTTTTGCAATTAGCCAATTAACTCTGTTCACATTATCTTTGTCAGATGAGAAGTTTAAACTTCAAAACATATTAATCGTAATACATAAATAACTAGCTGGTTACCCTTCGCCCCGGCGTCTTTTTTTTTTAACAACTTTATTTGTGTTATTACATTTGTGTTCTAGTTAGTCTTATCCACCAATATATGATTCATAAACACATATTTTCAATAATTTTCCACATCACCCATGAGGTACTATATATTATTAACGCGTTTTTTTTTAGTGATATCCCCAGTATTTTAAATTCTTTAAAGGAGTCGTACTTAGTAACTTTTTCTGTTCAGATTTTCCTAATCAACTAAATTTTAAAGAATTATATATGAAATAGAGGTAGAAAAAACTGAAGAATATAATAGAATTATAAATAGTCCGATATCTCAAAATTGGCGGAAGTTAGAGCAACCACGGACATTTATCAAAAAATTCAAAAATTTATAAAGAAAGAACTCTTTTACCGATTCTCGCCAAATTCAATAACAACCTTTCTTAAATGATACTCTATTCATCAAATAACTTATACATTTTTTAGGCAGAAATCGGTACTTCCTTCAACGATTCTCGCCAAATTCAAAACAACCATCTCTTAAAGATGACATGTATAACTTATACACTTTTTAGGCAAAAATCGGCAACCCTTTCACCGATTTTTGCCAAATTCAATACCAACCTACCTTTAATGATACTCCATCCATAAAAAAAAATTTAGCTTGATGTCTCAAAATTTGCGGAAATTAGAACAATCACGTAGATTTTTTTACACAGTTATCGGTGACCCCTTTATTATTAGCAATTTTTTGAATTCTATTATATTCCTCAGTTTTTTCCACCCTTATTTTATATATAATGCTTTAAGATTTGGTTAATTAGTTTTTAAGTTAATAACGTTCAAACATGCACCACCCGTAAGAATTTTATTTATTAGTATAGATATAATACTTAAATTCTTCGTCAGAAGTCGAGTGATTCAGTCGGCTATCAATATCTTCCATGAAGTCATTTATTAGCAAAACGTATATTTAAAGAAATCGTAATATATAATATAACACTTGAGTCGATCCTTTGCCAGAAGTTCAGAAGTCGAGTGATTGAGTCGGCTATCAATATCTTCCATGAAACCATTTATTAGCAAAGTGTACATTTATCGAAATCTGACATTTATTGAGTTATATGCAACATATATGATAAAACAGCGCGTAAAATTATCGTAATATATATAGTATATAAGTAATTTAACTTGTTACAATGTATCTTTTATAATTTAATTTAATACACTGATTGCGACGTATCGGTTTTTGCAACACAATGTACGAAGATATCTGACGTAAATGTGAATATAAATTTAAAATTTAATTTTCCGTTAACGCAAAATCCCACATTTTTATAGCCCCTCAATATCACTGTGATTATAACCTCTAATTATCACGTAATAAATTAGTTACAGTAATTGATGGTAACCAGTCTGAAATGAACAGTAATACTGTTTTGTTACATTTGTCAAAATTCCTGCCACGTTCGGTGCTTTATGTAACGGCGATTTTCTTAGCACGTGTGTCGTTTATAACGGCGATGCTTTCGTGCTCTCGAATCAGGGATGCACCGTAGGATATCTCACGTTTTCTTTATTGCGCATCGTCGGTCATTCTCGCCTTCATCGACTCTCCTGTGAACGTAAAAATGGCCTTATATTTTTCAGGACTATCCGATGAGTGTTTTTTCTTTTTTCTTGGTCGTGGTGCGCACCACAGATCACCGCGAATTCCGTAGTCAATCTGCTTCCCTCGACATTGTTTCCCATAAAGTTTCCAATATCTCATATCGTATTCCGATATTACTTTTAAATACGTTACGCACTCATTCTTTTATTACTATTATTTTCGGTTACGTTATGAAATTAAAAGATAGTTTAGAACACAACGATTCTTGCTACAAAATATTCGGGGCATACATTTTTATAGTAAAAAAAAATATATATGTATTCAATATTAAAAAATATATATAATTATATACATATATATATATTTTTTTAATACGGCATCAATTAGTAAGGTATGAAAAAACAACAATGGTATTAAGATAGTTAGCTCTATATTTCCCAATTTTTTGTATGATGATGACGTAGGATAATTTTACATTAGGATTATTTTATTACAAGATTATTTTATTACAGTCACACAATTTGATGTGCAATATTGCTATCAAAAGTATTGTTATGTTAAACGACGGCAGAGGCAACGATCACATTATTGTATCACTTTTATTATTTACTACAGTCTATTGCTAAACAATTGCTCACTGCTTAATGCTAAAGAATTTTTCATTTTTATCTATATCTCACTTTGCAGTCTTCTATTGAGTTGTACGTGCAAGTCTGTCAACATATTTTTACAAACGTCAATCTTTGCGAAATATATGCTTTTTATATGTATGCGCTTTTCTTTTATATATATGCGCGCTTTTTCTTATATATCTAATTTTTGTACTAAATTTTGTATTGTTTACGTTATTTTTTTTTATTCCTTTTGACTCACCCACATTAATAGATTTGTCAATGGAGTACTAGTTAATAAAAGTAAAAAATTATGAAATTCAATAAGTATATCTTTTATAATATCGTCAAGCTTTAGACACGATTATTATAATAGCCGTTTAAATGCGTCAATTAATTCACACAACACAGTGTGCATTACAAATTATGCTGATTTCGTTCGAGTTCCTTTGAAGGCAACATCGTAGGAAATTCGTATGTTCCTTTCGGAAAGCCGTTTATCATGAAGGGATAAAGCTTGTGGATCTCGCTCTTCTTATCGGTGAGATCTTCGTCGGTGCACCAAGGTAGAACAAATGGCAATCTGCAAAATGGAACAAACATCTTTTTACCAATGCAATATAGTCTTTTTTTTGCGCCTTCTCGTAAACGCCACGTAAGTTGATTACATCACTGCATTAATTTTTTGCGTTATTATTAAGATACACAAAACGTAATTATTTATAAAAATAGCTATTCTTATATAAAAACTCATTCGCTGCATTTTTACCTTGGCGGTGCGCAAGTTTGTATCTCATATATTATAGTTTTTACGAATGGTTGACTTTGAAACTTTTTCGTTCCCGGGACACGCATCGATGGGCGTGACGTAAAATACATTTTATTATTCTCCAATAACTTGCGCTTTTTATTTACTGACAGTTTTTGCTTTGGATCCCAGAGATTTTCTGTGGATTTAGAACTGAAATCAAAATTTTCTGGATTTAAATACATCATATTTCCAAAAAGTGTGTAATTCCTTCTAACGATAAAGTTTTAATAAATTTGCAATAAAGTTTCCTTTAATGAGAAATAAATTAGAGATCATTATTTGTTATTAATTTTTTACTTTAATAATTACTTTAATAATTTAGAAAATAATGAGCATAGAGCCGCAACATGGTGTTAGCGTTGATAATTTGGTATTTGTGTTAAAATGAACTACAAACGTTTCGGTCTGTTACAAGACCACACTCTCAGTATACAAAAAATAGTCAAACGTATAAATAAAAAATAATTAAGACCACCCAAGTAACACATCACAGTCGAAATGACATCATTTTGACGTCATGTTGACCTAATATTACGTCATTTTTTGGCCAATATGATGTCAAAATTATGTCATTTTGACTGCGACATGTTACTTAGAGGCCTATTCTGTAAACGGTTAACGACATCATTACGTGCTTTGCACAGATATAATATACCACAAAAATGCTGCGCAAAGCACGTAACGATATCGTCAACGTTTACAGAATAAAGGCCTATGACAGATGATTCTCAGATTTTTTTTTGTATAACACACCAAAGGCTTATTCTACAACATGACTCACAATAAAATAAGCACAGGTCATTATTGTCAACTTTACAACACAGCGGTTTTACCAATTTGCGTGATTTCAAATTATTTACCTGTAACCATGCGTATAATATGTCTTAATTATTTTAACCGTTTGACTATTTTTTATACTGAGGATGGTCTTGTAACAGATCGAAATGTTTGTAATTTATTTTAACACAAATACAAAATTATCAACGCTAACACCATGTTGCGGCTCTATGCTTATTATTTTCTCAATTGATTCGTTAATCGTCTGCCTTTAATACTTATACTTTAATAATCTTTTGATATACAATATTAAATAATTTTAATGTTTTTGCTTAAAACACAAACATAAGATTTCATACTCTTTCTTCAAACTTAATTTTAAAAAATATAATTGATGGTAATACTTCTTTTGATAAAAGTTTTACAGCAAGAACGAAAGAAAAGTAAAATTCATCGATGCACTTACAAAATTGAAAAGTATGAACGGTAATATCATGATAATTCTCTATTATATTCTGTGACTTACCCAAATCTACATAAATCTAAATTCGATGGTATATAAACACACGAATACGATGTAACTGCAGATGCGGTTGCGTCGTTTATGAGATTCATTATATTATTTTTCGCAGGCTCTACGTCTGAGCCGGTAGTCGGATACGCGTTTCCCACGGCGATGCATGATTTCAACGTAAAGAGAAATAAAAACGATTCCAATGCGCCCCACATGATTGTTGGAAGTCCTTTAGGCACGCAAATGCACGTTGCAATAAAACTGAAAAATAACATACACAAATATTCTACCATAATTTATCATAAATAAATAAAAAATTTTCTTAATTTAAATTGAATGCAAGAATTTGAGATATCGGTAGATTAAATCTTTCGGTTTATTCTAATAAGTGATGCGCAATATTTCCAGTTAATTTGTATAATTGTTACACAGTTTACAATCTCAGTTCATTAGGCTACGTTTACACCCAGCGACCTGATCGCGGCCTGACCTATATTGTGACCCGAAGTAGGTCTAGTCATCATTTGTTTACACCGAAAGAAACCTAAAAATTGACGGGATCGTATTTGGGATCGCCCTGAATTGCAGCGAATCCGAACAAGCAAATGAAGCTTTTAGGACGCGTCGCGCTTGATCGCGCGTTTACATCGCAAATGATAACGGCCGATTTCAGGTCGGGTCACTAAAATACGTGGCCTGATCTGAAGCCAGGTCCGGTCGTCTATCAACTGTTTACAGCAGGCGGGCTAAATAATTTAGGTCGAATTTGAGGTACAGGCCGCGGCCTAATTTCAGGGTGTAAACGTAGATGATGAGACGAGCGATTTCTCGAAGAAAAACAAAATCTATCTCTCGAATATTCGCCGGCGGGCGAATATTGTGTGTCACGTATAAATACCTGACGCATTATAATGGATTATTAATTCCAGCATCTAAACGTTGACGCGCGCGCTTGTTCAGATAATATAATAACGAAGTTGAAGGCTAGAATAGAAATAGAACTCTTAACAACGATAACTGCGCGCGTTATCACGCGCAAAGTAGTATACGCGCAGAATTGAAAACGAAGGAAGTATCCAGAAAACAAAATGATCTTTTGTCCATCGATCACGAAAACAACTCGACAGTTTTACGAGAGGGAAGGGAGTTCCCTTTGCCAGTTTCATTATATCCTGTCTATTTTATAAGCGCGCGCCTCCCTTTCATTACGCATCCTGTCGTTTTTACTGTAATGCAGAATTATTATTGCAAACTATACGTTGGAAGATAATGCCTCGCGCGCGATGGTATTAAATGAAGATCGCAATTATGTAGACCGGAAAATTGCTCCGGTCCTCTTCAGGTGCATTAAAGGAGCGCATTAGAATGCCTTAGTTTCGTAATTGTATTAAACTTATTTTTAAGCAAACGGTGCGATTCACTCTTGCAAATTGTTAGACGATTTTAATGAAAGATTCTTATATTTTACATTTACATTATTATTTGTATTCTAGGATCGAGTTGATTGTGAATTAAAGGACCCCTCACAAAATCAGGGGAAAATGAATAAAGAAAAAATTAAAAATGGCTATCAGTTTTCTATCACAAACGTATAAACATACAAAATAATGCGAACTTTTGCTCCCTTTCAAAAATCTTCGAGAGTACGAATATTAGATTATGACTTAATCGAGTATGTGAATTCTTGACTCTTTGGGAATCGTACAAATCTGAGACTTAAGCGTTTTCAGTTAACGTTTAAAAATAAGTGAATTATTAACTTTAGACAAAGTAACTGCCTTAATATTACGGACATTAATTAACTTTTCTTAATCGAAATAGTTGTGGTTTGAGTAAAAGCAATATACCTGATATTCATCGAAACTAAATATGTATATCTACGTCCGTATACACAGAAGAACATATCAAATTGCCACAAACATACACGCTTAACACATTTGCTGCCGCGCAGAAATCGCGATACCTTCGCCAGGAGTCGACTTTGTTTTTCGTTATGTTTTGAACATGCACACACGCACGCACACACACAGGCACACACCAGCATGACCGTACACATTATAAGGACTCCCTGCTGAAAAAGCTCTATTAAAACCATTAATTACTCTCAAATAGGTTGTACTTTATTAAACTGAAACTTATGCCGATAGTATAAATAAGTTTCTATGGTTTTTTAATCAGATTTGATAGAAATATTCACATTCCACCCTATATGTTTTAATATGTCTATATTGGTTCCGATTACGCTCAATCGTAAAATAGCAATCAAAATCTTAACAGTTTTTATTGTTTTTATTAGCGTTTTTGAACCATATTGAACCGGAATTTAAAATGTATAATTGGAAATTATCACCGTGGAACGAATATAATTCTAACTGTTTACATCGGGTTTAATGCGAATTTCTCTATTCAATCCTATCGCTTTCATTGAAGTCAATTGGTTCTAGCTGAGTTTAATCATAAAATGCCATTAAAAAGCATCTGGTTCTTAATCATTTTATAGCGTTTTCAAACTATGTTAAATCAGTTTTTATTATATTTGACTGGAAATTATCCCAGTCACCTATCCGAGTAGTAACTGCGCTCAATGTTGCTTGACATCGACGATCGAATGGACTAGTGGGGACCCTCTGACTCTAACACTTCCTTCATGCTTATACTCGTATATAACACATTTTTATAGTAATAAAATCCAAAATTAAGCGACCC